CCGCTACAACCATACCCGGGCTTGGATCACAAACCCATCGAACTCATCATCAGCTTCGAACACTACGTGGAGAAAGGGTCCAACTTTCACAAGTTGAATAACTCTCTCCTACTAAGCCAATCCTTTCAAGAGGGAGACCTACAATGTTGGCATAATATGAGAGGTAATTATCTACCTATTCACGATAGATGGGAGTGGTTCCAAGAAAGTTACTCCCCACTGTCACAAACGATAGCAAGAATCTCAAGGAAGCTGGCAAGCGACAGAAAGCGAAGGAAACAAGCAATGGAAACAACTCTTAAGATTGTTGAACTAAACTTAGCTGACCACCCGTCCTCCCCAATCTATACAGACATCTTTCAAAAAGCAAGAGAAGAGCTAGCCACTTGGCGATGGTGGGAACTGAAGAGCTTGCAGTTAAGAGCCAAAATGAATGAATATGAACTAAGTGAGTCAATCTCCAAACATTTCTTTGCAATAATTAAAGCCAATGCAAGATCTAGCTCCATAGAAGGTCTGAGAACCCTTGTTGACTCATCAGAAACACTAACGAATAGTGAAGGAATGCTTAACACAGCTAAAGGCTTTTACGAGGAGCTTTACCACACAAAGACCCTTTCACCTACGCCTCCCAGCACCAGAGAGGCACGAACCAGAATGCTCCAATAATACCAATACTTAGATCGAACAATATCACAGGAACAGTCAGGAGCTCTCGACAAGCCCATCACATTGGAAGAACTGCAATCCACAGTCCAAAGCACGAATAGCAACAAGACACCAGAGATTGACGGGCTGGCGAAAGAATTCCGGGTAAAATTTTGGCCACTCCTAGGGGAGGACTTTCTGAACTTCTGCCATGACAGTTGGCAGAAAGGAGGACCGGGGAATCTGTTAAGTAGCAGTGTGTGGTTACCCTGCTCTACAAGAAGGGCAAAAAAGAAAATAAAAGAAACTACAGACCTATCTCATTATTGACTCTCCCCTACAAAATACTGGCCAAAGCCCTTGCTTTTAGGATCCTCGACTTGACTGATAAGTGTTTTCACATAGACCAAACGGGCTTCATTCCGGGAAGGTACATCCTAGATAATGTTCCCACCATGGCAACCGTCCGGAAGTCCGGACCGGGTTCCAGACAGTCCGGTGTCTGGTCCTGATGTCCGGATGGAGGCCCCTGGGGCAAAAATAAAAAAAAGGGGCCGCCCAGGACGTTTATCGGGTCCTGGCCACCCCTCGAAAAATAATGGGGGGATTTCTCAATGTCATTTCACCCCACTGCACAGGGCCTAAAGGTCCGGACACAAGACACTGCAGGTTTTTGGGGTGGCGGGTTTCACACAGGCCCGAGCAATTTCAAGGCGCCCACCGCTGCTGCCCGTTGGGGAGAGAGAGAGAGAGAGAGAGAGAGAGAGAGAGAGAGAGAGAGAGAGAGAGAGAGCTAACAGTGCTGCCAGTCTGAAGACTCTGATG